AGTCAGGCAGCGTGCAGGGGACATGGGCCCTGGGTTACAGGACAGCAGAAGACAGAAAGCAGACTCCTACTCTCCCCAACCTTGCACCGCAGCCCAGGGACACCCCATTCTGTCAATACCGACATGAACCCCATTCTGAAGCCCAGAGAAGTCAACTGCCTGATAGAAGCTGGCCCACCCAGCTCTCTCAGTTCCACCCCCTCCTGGCCATGACCATGAAGGCGTCCTGCTCCTCACAGGGAAATGGTGTTGCCACCAGTTGTGAGGCAAGCACATCACCACGGGGACAAAGCCAATGCACACAGCCTGGCCCATCCATGCCCACATCAGGGCTGCTGTTGCCATGGAGAAAGCAAGGGCCCTTGACCCCACAAATGGTGCCTTTACACCTGGCCTTCTGTTGACTCAACAGCACACAGACAGTGCACCAGCATGGCTGGGCTCTGGGGTTGGGAAATCTGGGTGAGTCCTTCATGCTGGCTGAACTCAAGCAAATTCCTTAAGCTTCCGAAGTCCCACGAGACAAGTCTGAGGCCTGAATGAGATGATGTCCACAGGCCACCAGCTCAGCATGTCCCTGTTAAATGAACAGTGAATGAAGAACCCGGGCAGATGACCTAGCTTCTCCCAGCACAGCCCACCACCCACTGGGCGAGGCCCTCCAACACAGGCTCTTAGTAGGCATTCAATAGCTATCCTTGGAGCTCAAGGGGAAAATTGACTTTTTTGTGTTGTGAGCAGCCAGGGCCTTCGGATCGATAATGCCCTCTACCTCTGGCTTATTAAGTGGCAGCACTCTGCTGCTCAGAACGGCAGGAGAAGTGGAGAGGGCCTGGAACCTACAGATGGCACCTGGCTGGCGCAATGCAAACAGACAGAGCGCCCCCATTGGTGGAGTAGAGACACCAGTGCCTCGGTTCTGGTCCACTCCCCTGGGGCCACTCCCTCCACGGTGACAGGAATTGAGCTCTGCCTATCCTTTGCCTTAGAAGAGTTGCCACATGACCAAGGCACACTTCTGACACACACACACACCCCGCTGCCCCTCCAGGATCCACTCGTGATCCAACAGCCCCAGCCTGCCCAGTTTCTGAAATCAAAGATACATGATGGTGATGGCTGGAGGTGACCCAGCAGCCCAGAGGGTAGAATCCAGGAGGACTCTGCCTTCCTCTTCAACACCTGCGCAAACCAGAGACGCCTGACTGCCTGGACATCTTGCTCAGCATGTCTCTGCTCTTCTTCCCTACTTTATCTCCCACTGCAGAATCAGCCTCATTCCATCCTTCTCTCTAACCTTTGCACGGCTATCCCAATAGTCTAGGTCTGGTGGATTATGATGAACTGCTTCAGCAGACTACTGAGTCTTCTGGGCTCTACCAAGACAGATTTCCATACCGAGGCCCTCAGATGGCCCAAGCTACCACAGGGGGCACATGTCAGGACCTGGGCAGAGCAAGGATCCTTTAGTACTGGAGAACAGAGATAGGTCCAAAAGGATCCCAAGGGTCCCTTTAAGGACTGGGGACCTGGAAAGACCTCTGGGACACAGAGGCCAAGGGAACACTTCCATCAAGAAAAGAGGGTATATTCAGGGGCACACCAGGGCCAGGGCAGGGGTCGCAGCCTGGGAACCAGGACAGTAGATAGGAGAAAAGCCATGGTGGAACAGGGCCACTGATCCCACCCCATTACCATGATGCCAGGAGCCCTGCACAAGACCAAGTCTTGCTAGGCTAAGTGTGGAGGAGGACTCCACCCTAGTGACACCATTCACAGGTGGGTCTGCCCCAAACCACAAGCTCCAAGTGTATCAGGGTCTTCCTGCCTAGGACAGTGGGTGGCCACCGATCTGTCACCTTCCAAAGAGAATAAGACAGTCAAGATCTCAGTCCTGGTTCCTACCATCTGGGGACTCTTCCTAACCCCCACTGCTTCATAGAGACCCTTGCCCTGGCCAGCTGTGCTGTTTCAAATGACAGTGGTCCCAGCCAGCAGGAGACCTCTGCACCCTCTGACACCAGCAGCAGTTTAAAACAGCTGTCCCCTCGCCCAGAGTTCGCCTCTGGTACTCAGTCCCCCTCCCTGGTCCCTCCCCTCTGAGGATTTATGCAAATCCCAACTGCAGGATTGTTTCTTAATGTCAAAATGCAGGCGGATGAATGTCAGATGCGGCTGCAGACTTGGTTGGTACTGCGCTTGATAGGCTAGCTTGTAATTTCCTCCAAGCCAGAGGGATCAGCTTCTAAAGCCTGTCCTCAATAAACACTTCCTCCCCGCCTGTCATCCTGTCCCCAGACCTGGTGACAGCTGCAGGGCCCTTAATCCTTCCTCTGCTCACAAACCAAACCCCTGTGGAGCCAGGAGTCCAGAGAACTCTGGCCAGTGAACCAGGGCACAATCCGGTCCGTGGTGTCACCACCATCATCCTACCAGTAGCACCAACAATGCCACCCAAGTCACCTCCTCTGTCACCAAGCTCACAACATCTTATCTTTGTCACAGTCATTGGTTCCCACTGCTTCCCATACCCACCATGCCCACTGTCACCAGATATCTTGGGTCCCCACGCCCATCCAACCTTGGCTCACTTTAAAAGTGGAACCAGGCAGCAGCCCATAGAACTTAACAAAAGGATATACAACCCGTTTAAAGATGGGGGAACGACTCGAGCAGTCATTGTACAAAGAAGGCACAAACAGCCGCCAGCCTGTGAAAAGACAGTCACCAATCAATAAAGAAAAGCAAATCAGATCATGTTGAAACACAACCCCCGCCCCTCCCAGAGACAGCTACTATCACTGCCAGAAAGTGGCCAGAGTCGGTGAGGATGCGGAGAAATGGAACCTGAGATGCTCAGCCAGCAGGATGTAAAGTGGTGCAGCTGGTGTAGAAAGTGACCCGATGGCTCATCAAAATTAAACAGAACCACCGTTAGTCCCAACAACTCCACTTCTGCCTATCTGTTTACCCAAAGTCATTGAAATCAGGGGCTCAGACAGAGGCTTCTCTACGATGGTTACAACACTGCTCACAACAGCCAACACATAAACTGCCACTGTTTGTGGACAGCACGTGGAGGAGGAGCATGGGTAAGTCACACACTGAATGGAGTGCTATTCAGCCCCGAAGAGGACACCCATAGGGTAAACTCTGGGAACAATATTCTGGGTGAAACACCAGTCACTGAAAAACCAAGTGTGTGAGTCCTCTCTCACGGTGAGCCCTCCCTCATGCCGATTCCTTTCATGGCATCCCTACAGCAGCCAATCCACAGTGGCAGAAGGTGGGATGGAGGGCTGGGGAGAGGGAGGAGCAGAGTCCAAGATGGGAAGAGCAGTGTCTGTCTTGACATGTGAGTGGCGGCAGCAATGGTGATCCACCACGCGTGCACACCAGACTGTGTGTGTAGAAACATCACCACAGTGAACAGAAACTGTGCATTCGAGTAGGTTTTGCTTGGTTCTGTGTCTCCCCTTGTTTGGCTTTGTTTTGCTGAGACAAGGTCCCTCTCACTAGGTAGCCTCAGCTGTCCTTTAACTAATCTCCCTGCCTCCACCCCCCAAGTGCTGGCATTTGTGTGCACTACCCAGGCCCTGCTCAGGATATGCATTTCAGCACATTTTAAACCCCGCAGGAGGCTGAGGCTAGCTATGCAGGCCAACACAAAACCATAAACTTGCTTAAAGCATGAATTTGGGGGTGGGGAGATAGCCCAGTGGGTAAAAATACTTGTCACACAAATGTGAGGAACAGGGTTTGGATCTCGAGCACCCACATAAACCCTGGGTGGATGTGACAGCCTATTTGTAATCCCAGCACTTGGAAAGCAGAGACAGGGGATCCCTCAAGCAAGCTGGCTAGTAAGACCGGCCAGACTGGCAAACTGCTGTTCAGAGAGAAACCACACCTCAATATATATATATATATCACACCTCAACATATATATATATATATATATATACACATACATGTTGGAGAGCATGTGCAATACATGTGCATTTGCACCCACACACATGTATTCCCAAACACATGCAAATGGATAGACAAAAATGATAATTTTTTGCAGGTTTTTTTGGAATTTGATATTATAGTTTTTGACTATTAATATGTAGATGCAGCACTATATTGAAGTGCAGAATGGTTGGATCCTCCTCATTTAAAGAGAGGATTTGTCCACTCTAACTTTAACCTGGGATGTTCTCATACTAACCAAAGGGACATGCAAGGACAGCAGGCATGTGCCACCACTTCCTGGCAGGGAACTTGGTATCTTAATCATACCATGGAGCTCTGGTGGAGCCTAGAGTTCAGAGGACACATAAGTACAGGGCATAGATGTCCAGTTTCCCTAGGTGTTCCATGGTCACACTGCAGGCCAAGCTTGAGTGTGACAGAAGATCCAGGAGAGCCATGCCATGCCAGGAGACTGCCTGAAGGAGGAGCTCCAGCTGGCATTGGTGTCTAGCAGCCGATACATGGTGGTAAAGTTGTCTCAGATCCATGAAGCAGCCAGGGGCATAGCCATCAGGAGCCTGGGCAGCCGCAGACTAACCCCCTTCCCTCGGCTGGTGGTGGCACCTAATGTGTTCAGTACCAGAACTGGACCTGGACAGCAACCCACCTGGGTCCCCTGGAGTATCTAACCCTGCACTTTCTCACCAGTCCCTTAGGACCAAAGGCAAAAGGCCACACACTGACCCTCATCCCCCATGGCTCTCTCATAGTCTCTTCCCAATTGAAAGCCAAGAAAGTCCAGGGCAGCCATCTTGCCTACTGGGTGAAAGATGCCTGCCAGCAACCTGGACATCCGAGTGTCACCATCCCCAGCCAGCTCCACCAAAGGCTGGGAAGCCCCCAGCATCCCACAGAAGAAAGCTGCTAAGCGAAAAATGAAAAATAAAAATAGAAGCCCCACCTTCCACCGAGGCAGAAAAAAAATCCAACAAGGGGGTAGGCTGGGTCAGGACAAAGGCAGCAGAGAAAAGACTGAGGGGGTAACTACATTTATTATTAAAGGTGCCTCTCCAGAAACAAATAGGACTGTGGGTAACAATGTATGCAAATCCATGCAAATTACTTAGAGACAGTGAGGTGAGGCTCCTCCATGGGCAAGAGCAGCAGGGAGGGAGAAGCTTGGTGTGGGCCAGACCTCCAGCTGCTACTTCAGAGCCTTCTAGGAGAAAGCACTCAGTGGAGCTAGCCTCACAAAGCAAGAGTCCTCCTCCACTGAGCAGGTGAAGCTGGTCCATCCACCCCTCACACCCTGGTGGGGCTGACTCTGAATCCATGGAATGGCCTCCAGCACTATGCAGCCCTATTCAGAGGAAAGCCTGGGTTTTGAATGTGTTTCCAACATCGTCATAAAGGTGCCTCCTCCAGGAGTTCCATCACTGCTTCCTGCCCGTGTCTTCCAGCACAAGGGCACGGTCCGCACTTCGGATGTCATCTACCCATGCCTGACTTTTCACCCTGGTGGTCTGAGCACCTGGGCAGGTCCTGCGTGTCCAAGCAACAGGAGAGGCTTTAGGGGGAGACATCTGAGCAGAGACACCCGCACCCACCACTCAGTGATGCCCATTATCTGATGACAGAATCACTCCTCCGTCTCCAGAACAAGCTGATGAAAGAACTAATCACATGCTCATGGCATAGTGGGGAAACTGAGGCTCAAAGGCCAACGATAATTTCCCCAAGTCTTGGCATGGATGAGTCCTCCCTAATAACTTACCAGCACTGATCACGTGTTTCCCTACAGCGACGCTGTGGCTATAAATTAGGCAACCTGACTTGTTGGGGACTTGGCAGGATTAGGCTCCATCGCCTTATATTAAAGTCCTGACTCCGGGACCTCAGAGTGGGACAACGTCTGCAGTCGGGGTGTTTAAGGAAAAATAGGACCAATGACCTTATAAGACAGGAGACCAGAGTGTCAGCACAAACAGATGTGAGAATGAGGGGGGTTCACACTGTCTGTACAGTAGAGAGCAAGGCTTCTGAGGGACCGACCCACCCATGCAGTGACCTCAGGCTCCAGCCCTCGACTGAGCAGCAAATTGCATTATGTGAGCCACAGGCCACGGGTCATGACTCCCACAGTGACCTGCCTCAATAGCACCGTGGCTTCCATTAGAGAAGACAGCCACAGAGAAACCAGGGGTTGAGGCAGGCGTTTGGTGAGAGACACGGAGCCCACGTGCAAACATGGGTCTACCTCTCTGCTGGTTCTTCACTAGAAAAGGAGTTCACTTAAAGGAAACACGTGGCTGGTGGCTGGCACCGGAATACTGTAGCTTTAGGGTAGCCAGGTCCACAGTGGGACCCGGCTGTTGTAATGGCGGGTGAGATGACATCCAGATGGTCTGTGATGGACACCACACACACACACACACACACACACACACACACACACACACACACACACACCTCACCTTGGAGGCCGAGGACCCATCCACAAGCACTGGCTACTCCCCTCTTAGCAAGAAGCTTCTCCTAACCTGCACAGACCTGGTTTCAGGTTCCACAACCAGCTCACATAACATCATAACATCCACTGCTTGCTGCATATACCAACTGGCTGTCCATCGCCTGCCCACTCAGAACCAGGCATGGGAGGACAAGAGAATGAAGGGCTGTGGTCCCCCTTATCACCTTGAACCTCGGCGCCACTGACAGCCCCAGCAGCTGCAATTAACATGACGCCGCTGACATCTAAATAATACAACGGTTATTATAAATAATACACGCCTGATGAAGATCAAGTTATTTATAAAAGAATTAGTAGTGGCATGTGAGCGTGGGTGCCTGTTGAGCAGCAGGGACACTGTGGCTTCTGATCTGAATTTCTATGGGGCCTGATGAGCGTCCTTAGGAAGACAGACCTTGAAGTTTCCTCTGCTATTTGCAAACTAATTCCTGGTAATGAAGAAATTAGCGTGGAAAGTCAGACTGGAGCTGGAGACAGAAGTGGGGGGAAGAGGCATCTGGCTTGGTGTCCCATCCTAGTGCAAACCATGGAAACTGGTTACTGTTTGGCATGGTGGGAACAGCAGCCCAGTGAGACAAGTTATTAGACCCCCAAAGCCAAGCCCTACCATAAGAATACACACATACACACACAAAAAATGGATCTTGGAGATGAGCGGTCAACAAGTGCTCGCTGCAGGGGCCTCACCCTCTGGAGAGTGGAAACTAGGTTCTGGGAACCCGACGATACACCAGCTGTCAACTCCCTTACCCTGCCACCAAGCTCAATCTGAGCCTAGATCCAGGACTCACTCCCATGAGTGAGTCCATCTTTCACTGCTGAAGGAGTGTTGTTATGGCTTGGGTGGACTACAAAGAGAAGACAGTCAGTCACCTGGGCCTAGAGTCCTGTCCAAAGTTGAGGAGTCATGTCTGGTGACAGCCTTACGTCCCAAGGCAGTGTGAGTGTCCCACAGAGAAACACAGAGCTCCTAAGCATGTGTCTCCTCTGAGCTGACCCTTGTCTTACTCGACCACCAGGGTCCGACCTATGGTTTCCACCCTGGTGATCTGGGCTAACCCTAACCTCTCCCAAGGTCCCCTCCTCCCACCCCTCTGCCTGGGTAGCTTCCGATTCCAGCTGCAAAGTGTCTCTCCGCCAGCGGGAACTAAGTTCTCAACAATGGGGTTTGGACCACACAAGAAGCCCTTTCCCAGCTGCTTCTTGCTAACTGTAAAGTGTCATCTATTTCCATATTGCCTGGCCTCCCAGGCCAGCACAACAGAAGTGGGAGAGTCTCACAGTTGAAGTGAGTTCTGTCTGGAGGTAGGAGCCAGAGGTCAAGTTGTCAGAGGATGCCATTGCCTGCTCCGGGCCCCTCCGTGTTTATCCGCTGCTCTATTTTTTGCACACTTCCTGAAAAAGGAGATTCCGTGTCAGAGAAGATCCTTGACATGGCCTGAGCCCAAATACACTGGCTCCCTAACAGTAGCACCTGTCAACTGTGACAGGGAAAGGTGTGGGTCCACACAAGGAGCTGTCCCTCTAACTGATGCCTTCAGGAGGATGCCAGCTTGCTCTCCATCCCCCCTCCCCCACCCCCAGGGAGGTCTTGCCCCATTTCTGGACAGGCCCAGAAGCCAAGGGACAAGGCAAGGATGCAGTAAGATGTGAGCGGCTATCAACTCCAGGCAACACTCCACCATCAGACTCCTGCACAGGATGATCCATCCCTGCCATGTTTCTGCTGTGGGCCGTCAGCTGTAGCACAGCCCTTCCCTGGGCTAGAGTGAAATGTGGAGGTCAGTGGAGACCCACGTAGTTCTTGGCCAATAGGCAAGGGTCAGGAAGGAGAAGAGCCTGCTCCTCAAAACACCCACGGACATCCTCGCCTGTCCTGAGTATATCCACATCCCCACCTGGTTAACATCCACCCTACCAGGAGCACTTAGGAAGTGCTGTATGCCAGAGCCCTCCCAGGCCACTGGGCTAGTCCTCCCTGCATCAGGGCAGCCCAGGGTTCTGCTCCTCCGGGCCTCAGCTTCATTACCTCCTTTACTGTGCTCCGTTTGGGATGCCTGCTCAGCTTCATGCTGCTATTTCAGCTCACAACGTTTATAAAATTGCATCCGGAGCCTGGCACAGCAATGCAGAGCCAGCCTGCTCCGAGTCCTCAGACAGCAGCTCCTGAATGCTAATTGAAAAGTGATTAATTACCGCCACGCGCTCCACTCATGCGACTGCCACCCCTTGCTCTCCCATCCCCCCCCACCCCCAGCAGAGCTGAAGGCAGCCGGAAAGGTGTGTGCTATGTGCTTTTTGTTCAAGCCAAACTGTTTTCAGTCCCATTGCTTTTCATGAGGGTGAGCCCTGGAGCGGGAGCCCAGAGACCACTTGGGGGCAAATCTACCCAAATCTATGTAAGTCTCTCCGAAGCTCTGGACCTCCAGTCCATCCCGGAGGAACTTCAGACTTAATCTCCTGAGTACAAATCCAAATGCCCGAGATGGCTGCAACAGAATTGCATGTGTGTTGGGGGTCCCCCCACAGACTCTCCACCTCCATCTTGTCTGCCTGGTTCTTCCCAGTGTTCCCCCTACCTAACCACTACCCAATTCCTGTGGTTCTACTCCAGGGTCCCCTCCCGGCAGGACCCCACTCCATTGGTGCTGGGGTACCCTCTGCCATCAATATTAGTCACCCTCTGTTTACTGTCTGGTGTTCCTGCATCCACAGATCTCACCGCAGTCCCCAAAAGAGCTATCAGAAGCCAGAACAAGTTCTTCACTGCCTGCTGGGCCCTCGGGATAAAACTCAGCCCCTTTCCTATTCCTGGCTTTGAACACTTCAGATCACTGGGAAGGTGTTACTGGTAAAACACCTGGACCACACTGACCCTGGGCAAATTGGAGCTTTCAGGGGAGACTGGGGGTGACAAAGGGTGGGTGAAGCTGGCTGGATCAAGACAGGGCTGGGGGAGGCAGCAGACAATTCAGCATTAGTGGGGACCTGTGGGTTGATGGAAGACACAGAGCATCACCCGAAGAAGCCCCAAGGATCTTGAAGGGTCAGAGACAGACACGGGATAGGAGAGGATCTGGGGGTTCTGAGTCAGACCCCATTTCTGTGTCTTGGGTGTGCAGTGGCTGCTGGGACCAGTCTCAAGCTACTGTGGGAACCAGGAAGCAAGAGGTGGGTGCTCCCATGTCCCCCCGCACTGTACCCACACTGCCATGAATCCCCACCTAGCTGTGCTGCTGTTGAGGACAGGCCCGCCACAGCCCCTCATCACCAGCATCTGAAACCCTGCCAGAAACACAACCTTTGAGGCAGTTTCCCCTCATCTAAATTCTTTCTTGACATTTGTATGGCAGAGCACAGGAACAAAACAGCCAGGAGAGAGCAAACCCAGAGCCATGCAGGCTCCTGCTGGGGGAGGCTCTTGAGGAACCAGGAGGGACCTGACCAGACCCGCTGCTGTGGGAAGGAGGGCACACAGATGTGCGGTGTGGTGTAGCCTGGTGGCAGCCATCCCCCGGAATTCTCACCCTGACCTTGCCTAGCCCTCCCAATGACCCCATTTTATGAAGTGGGAAACTGAGGCTCTGAGGGGTGAGAGGTGACTGAGGCACACAGCTGGCAGCTTTTCAGCCCTTGTGGGACTGCCTAACAGACCTGTTTACAAAGCACAAAAAGGGGAAATCCAATTGGCTGTTCCCCAGATTTTCTCATGGTCCCTCAGCCCACCTAAGCTAGTAAGGCCAGAGGACCCAAGCTAAAACACCCCAAGAAAAGTTTTGGTCTTTTGCACATCAGGACCCAAAACTTCAAGTTCCAGCTGGGTGGCCATGGGACCACCCTGACTCCCTAGCCTCAGTTTCCCCACTTGTTGAAAGAGGAAGCCAGTCTTAGGTGCATGTTTTTGCAAGAAGCTAAGCTAGGCAGGGGTGAGAAAGACCTGCCCAGGACTCCCAGGGCCCCAGGCAGGAAAACCCGACCTCTGGCTTTGGCATACCCAAGGTTATAGAGCAAGGCTCCAGAGTAGTACCCCATGGGTTATTGGAACCACCCTCCCACAGGTGTGAGTCTATGGTGATATTTGGGGCTAAAGCAGACCCCGTGAAGCCCTCCACCAGCAGGTCATGGCTGGTGTGAAGCCACACCCTAACACCACCCAGATGGAGTGCTTATATTGCCCACCGGAGTCCAGTTCTAAAGGTACAGTTTCACACCCACAGTCAAACTCAAACTAAAAAGATGTGGAGGGGAAGTGACCTTTGTCCTAAGCCTCTTATGGATGAACCTGCAGAGAGGTCGACCCCTATTCTTGCCTGGCAAGGATCGAAAGGGCGGGGTGGGGGAGCTTTCTGGGTATCTACAGTCCACACCCATTCAGGCCCATGGTTGGTTACTGACAGGCTAACCTCCTTCCCAGCTGTGGTGGGGATTCATGGGTCTTTGAAGTGTTATGTGCTGGCCCCTCAGGGACACTAAGGTAGATGATCACTTGGCTGGACAGGGTAAGGCAGGTACTGGTGGTCAGGTCAAGCCACAAGATAAATGAATTGTACATCCACAAACGGAAAGCCAGTCCTTCCATTCCCAGGAGCCCCGTACCTGCAACGGGCCTGATATTCTACCGTGGGAGCGGTGGAGTCCCAGTTTCCCACAGCAGGGAGGACCTGGATGGACCAGCTGGTGGCAACAAGGGCCTGGGTAGCTTGACTACTGGTGAATGACAGGCTAGAAATGCATGTGGACTTGGACCTGGGATGCTTACAGTACCTGTTTCCCCTTCCCCTTCAGAGATTCCCATGTCCCACCACTTGCATTTTGAGTAAGCCTGGAAGGTTCTCTATGTTCTATATCCTCTCTGAAGCCAACAGGCGCTTGGTGCCTGTGCTCACTGACATTTCAGGAAAAGTGACCCTTGGGTGAAAGGTGAGAAGGGAGTCTTCGATGATATCTCTGACTATGGCCACTTTGGGTATGACATCATTGACAAGTAGAGTAACAACTACAGAAGCCCTGCCCAGAAAACTACCAGGATCAGTTTCCCCAAACCATACCCTGCTTAGGCAGCAGTGATTTGAAGGACCTCAGCCTCCCCAGGGGCGGTGTGGGGGTGGGGGAAATCGATAATACTGGGCTGTGATCAACACCACAGGACAAGCCACAGGGACCAGAAGTATTCTCATGGAGCCCAGCTCCACAGGAGCTGGGAGGGTGGAGGCTGAGAATGTCTTCCCGCCACTGAGGATCAAAATGACATGGCAACCAGGAAACCCGAGCGATGGGACACACGTGGGGAAGGACCTGGGGTGTGAACAGCGTGAAGACACGTGGGAACATGGAGGAGCAGGGTTCCACAGACAGCACACCAGGCCAGCTGACTCAGGAGCAAGAGGGAGTGCCCAAACCAAGAGGAGGGGATCAGCTCAGTGGGAGCAGAGGAGCCAGACCTCAGGCCACAGGTGACCTGGAACACCCAGGTGTTTACCACCATGCTGTGGCTGAGCTGCAGGGTTAGGGACAAGGGCAACTCTGGGGACTCCAGAAGCCGGATGGGAGCTGATCCCTGGCTCCAAAGCCAGCACTCCGCACAGAGCTAAGGGCTATGGGTACAGGCAAGGGCAGTGAGGAGGACAGCAGCCACCACAAGGGATGAGCGACCTCCAGTCAATCCTCCCCAAACGCCGCCCGGAATGCTTACTCCTAGGCTCCATGGGTAGGTGGAACGCTTGCTTGTTTTTCTCACTTCCCTTCGATACAATTATAGATTAATTAATTCTCACCAAGCAATATCTGACCTACATCAGCGCCTCTGTAAGACGGCAGAGCCAGAAGAAAGACTCAAAGGCTCATTCGGCTATATAAAGACAAGCGATCTATTTTAAAAGAAGGGCTTGTGCTGGAGTCCGCTGTTCCCAACAGCCTCGTTACATAAGGCTCGTTTAAAGGCAACACGCACCCGCCTGCCCACGCGATTCATGGCTCAGTGGTTCTGAACACGAGGTTAATCGGCGGATTGAGTCTGGCCACACTGGAGGGGCTTGGCCAGGAGGCCAGCCTCCTGGGGATGCAGACAGAGGTTCTAGAGCTCTTCCTGTGGCTGCTTCCGCACTCCCTGTCTGCTGCCTCCTGACCCATTCAAGCTGGTCCACACCCTCATTTTAATTGTGGGATCCTCAGGGTCAGCAGGAGCCCCATCTCATTCATCAATGTGTCCCTGACTCCCAGAGAGAGCCTGGGACAGCACAGGCAGTGGTGCTAATGGATTGAGCTGTGATGTAGCAAAAGCTGCAGGCAGTGGGGGATGGATCACACCTGCTGAGCACAGCATCGCAAAAGAGGCGCAGAGTCGCTCAGTCTCCTGTAGTCCTTAAGACTGCTCTGCCAGGCTGGTGCCGCCGGATCAGTGGACACCTCTGAGATGGTATATACAACCCCACACCTTTCCCTTTCCTTGATATAGGCTAGGGGATGAACAGAATTACTGCAAGGTCTCCAAGCCTGTGTTTCCAGCCTGGGACCTGCTTGTCTCATTCTTTCCTGCATCCCAGAAAACCAGCTCTGTGTCCAAAAGAAGCTTTGAGAACAGGCCCAGGAGACAAAGGCTGAGAATGCCAAGGCCCACGAGTGATCTTGGGGGCAATTCCCTGACCTGGCCATGCCTTTAGATGAACCCTCAGTTGCAAAACCCACGCACTGGGTTCTTGCAAGAATGCGGACCAAATCTGCACTTGCTGTGTTAACCCACTGCACGTGGGGCACGTCGTTATTCAGTTGCCCTCACTGTCTGCCTCACATCAGAGGCTGGGAAACTGAGACTCAGCTCAGTCCAATGGTCCATGTCAGCACAGACCTACCAGCTCGGCACAGCACACAGATCTGTGGCTGAAAGAAAGGGACAGGGTCAGCCCTGGCCAGGCAAGCTGTAGCCTGCCATGCCAAAGCAGATGAGAAGTCCAGCTACCCTGCCTCTACCAGCCACATGGGCCCTTCCCTGCCCTACAGACAATCCTCACTCTTATTGTCCTGCGTTCAAAATGAGTCACCGCCTTACTTTGGAGTTTGGTGGCTCAAGATATACTGAAGAGAGGATTTGCTCATGTGGAAGCATCACGGCACAGTTCCCAAACCCCTGCTCCTGGTCACTGGGCACTTTCAATGATGCTGGATCATCCGAAAGAG